ATTTTTTTTTTTTTTATTATTTTTTTTTAATATATGTATATATATATATATTTGAATAAATATTTGAAATGTTTGAAGATTTAAAAATATTTGTAAAAGGCAGTGACCGTCATCCGTGCTGTGTTTGCTGCAGTGGACGGTCTGTGGACGCAGTGGAGCAAGTGGTCGACGTGTGGGACAGAGTGCACTCACTGGAGACGGCGCGAGTGCAGCGCTCCGGCCCCCAAAAACGGCGGCAAGGACTGCGAGGGAGCGGTGCTGCAGTCCAAGAACTGTACGGATGGGCTCTGTATGCAGAGTGAGTGCCGCCCTTCCTCATCCTCTTCCTCCTTATACAGGCCTTCTCACCATCCACAAATCCCATATCACTCCTCAGATACGGGTTCACCCTCCACCCATCATTCACTGAGAAAAATCTGTGCTTTTATTTCAGTTTCCAGTTAATATATCAAAACATCCTCAAAATGAGACCTGTTTTTAGAATGCTTTTGCATGTTTTAAGTGTAAACCTAACAAAATATACTCAGTTTTATTATTAAAATTAGAAGAAATAATAGGATAAGAAAAATAAACTTCTCTGTGTTCTCTAAAAACAGGTCTTATCTTACATGTGTGACCCTGGACCACAAAACCAGTCATAAGGGTAAATTTTTTTACATTTATACATCATCATCTGAATAAATTAGCTTTCCATTGATGTATGGTTTGTTAGGATAGGACAATATTTGGCTGAGATACAACTATTTGAAAATCTGGAATCTGAGGGTGCAAAAAAATCTAAATATTGAGAAAATCATCTTTAAAGTTGTTCAAATGAAGTTCTTAGCAATGCATATTACTAATCAAAAATTTAGTTTTGATATATTTACGGTAGGAAATTAACAAAATATCTTTATGGAACATGATCTTAATATCCTAATGATTTTTGGCATAAAAGAGAAATCTATAATTTTGACCCATACAATGTATTGTTGGCTATTTCTACAAATATACCCCAGCGACTTAACACTGCTTTTGTGCTCCAGGGTCACATATATTTACTTGAGAAAGAAAGAAGTCTTGTTTTAGGGATGTTTCCATATTTGTATAGCCTGATGGAGAACGTGATGCTCTGTTGGATTGGATTGACGCAGATGTCGGTGTTGGAGAAACACAGTGTGTCTTTGTTGGTCGTGTAAATACAGTCTCCACACGCCGTCCAGCATTCAGCAGCTATGTTTAAAATAATGATAAGTGATTATATCGTACTTACACAAAGTTTCATAATTGCTCCACGTCTATGATTACTATGATTTGGACCCTATTTTAAAAAGCGCAGGAGTCCGAGACTGAGAGAGAAGAAAATCACAGCCGCTCAGACTCTCTCAGCTGTTTTTCTTGTGAAGGCAATTAAACGTGTTGACAAGCTGTTTTATGATTCCTCCACTCTTTCAGAGGATGTTTTAAGCTCATGTAAGTGGAAAAACAGAAAATAAAAACTCTTCTAGCTGTTATTCTTCTGAAATCATTCATTTAAAGCAGAGATGACAAAATTGGTTGTTTGAGTTGGCAGTCCATGTCATATAAAAAATACAAAAAAATAGGGAGAAAAAAAACATGACATTGAAGCATATCTTCGATTCTTATTCTTACCAATATTTTTAACTTACATTTTTTTAAAATGTAATGGATTGGATTGACGCAGATGTCGGTGTTGGAGAAACACAGTGTGTCTTTGTTGGTCGTGTAAATACAGTCTCCACACGCCGTCCAGCATTCAGCAGCTATGTTTAAAATAATGATAAGTGATTATATCGTACTTACACAAAGTTTCATAATTGCTCCACGTCTATGATTACTATGATTTGGACCCTATTTTAAAAAGCGCAGGAGTCCGAGACTGAGAGAGAAGAAAATCACAGCCGCTCAGACTCTCTCAGCTGTTTTTCTTGTGAAGGCAATTAAACGTGTTGACAAGCTGTTTTATGATTCCTCCACTCTTTCAGAGGATGTTTTAAGCTCATGTAAGTGGAAAAACAGAAAATAAAAACTCTTCTAGCTGTTATTCTTCTGAAATCATTCATTTAAAGCAGAGATGACAAAATTGGTTGTTTGATTTGGCAGTCCATGTCATATAAAAAATAAAAAAAAATAGGGAGAAAAAAAACATGACATTGAAGCATATCTTCGATTCTTATTCTTACCAATATTTTTAACTTACATTTTTTTAAAATGTAAAAAAACACGTTTATATATATATATATATATATATATATATATAAAGTTATAGTTAAATGTTAAAAATATAGTACATTTATATAAATATTATAAATTAATATAATATTGTTGAATATAATACATTTACTTGTCTTATTTTTTGTTTTATTTTTGCATTGAAATGTACAAAACAATGTATGTGAATTTCATACAAAATAATTTAAACATTAAAAAAACGTTATTTAATTTTATGTTTAATTATGTTAAAATTCAGTACATTTATATAAATATTATCAATTAGTATAGTATAGTTGAATGTGATGAATTAAAGCAGAGTCTAATTAAATGCCATGGAAGCATATCTTTATTTCTAATTGATATTTTTGTTTTAACATTTTTTTTTTTTGCATTGAAATGTAAAAAAACAACAACGTGAATTAAAAAATTAAATTAAAAAAAATTTTAACATTAAAAAAGCTATTATTTTTTGTGTGCTTATTTAAAAAATGTTAGAAAATTCATTAATTTTAATATTTTAATAATTGGATATAATGCAACATTTATTTTAGGCCCACACCCCTCAATCAAGTTTGATTGATTTATATTAAAAAGTAAAACCTAAAATTAATAATTTTGTCATCATTTACTCATGTTCCAAACCTGTAGACTGGCTTTCTGCTGTGAAACACAAAAGAAGAAGTTTTGCTCAATGTTCACGCTGCTTTTTTCCATGCAGTAGAAGCATACAGAGATCTGTCAGGATCCATGAAGGACAAAGAACCCCAGACTACTTCTATATTAGTTGTTTTTGTCTGTGTTGGATCCCAGCATGCAGCGGTCATTGTAAAGAGCTGCGTGAAGCAGTAAAAACACCAGCGGACGAGCCTGACGAGTGAGTGAGTGAATGATGACAACGGCTTTACATTTGCTCCAGCAGCTCGGTGGGAAAATGCAAAGCGTTCCAGCTGCAGTCGGGACGGGATCATTTCCCGTGTTTTTCCATTTAGTTCATCCAGTCAAACAGTAACTTGAGTCTCTGCTGTTTGTCATTGATTATACATGCAGAGGTTGTGAAGGCCAGAGGAGATTTGAAACCTAATGTTTCCCTCTTCTGAAGAGACGCGGCCCGTGTTTATCTGCTAATCCTCCCTTCACTCTCTCTCTCTCTCTCTCTCTCTCTCGCTGTCTGTCTATGTCTCTCTCTCTGAAAACGAGAACGCAACTGCAAAAGCGTTAAATGCGTTTGATGAGGGCGAAACGGCATCTGTTTGCTTTAGTAAACGCAGAGTTTCATATTCATTTTGATTAGGTCATGAAAATGAAATGGCCAGGGCTTGCGGAGATACGGAGCAGATTGAATCAAACGTCGTTAATGATAATCATGAATCTAATTACCCGTTTGATTTTAGCGTATAAGTGATGAGCGAGTGTTAATCAGAGTATTGATCGGAGGCTCAGAGGAACCGTCCGTCCGTCTGTGTGCGTCTGATGCTTCTTAGACTTCAGAAATGTTTCTTCAGTTTTACAAGCTTCGTTTCAATGCATCATGGGAAGATTTATAATTATTGTGTATAATAATTATTATATAACATTATATGTTTATTGAATTATTGTAGTGTAGACGCAGCGGTAATACCGTAGTACAGTGATGGTATATCATGTATGTAGAATGGTATGGATTGATTACAATATTCATATACTTCAAGTTCGGAATAATTACAATTTTTTTACGTTTTTGAAAGAAGTCTCTTGGGCTCACTAAGACTACATTTATTTGATTAAAATTGCATTAAAAACAGTAAAATTGTGAAATATTATTAGAATTTAAAACAGCTGTTTTCTATGTGAATATCTGTTAAACTGTAATGTATTTCTGTGATGCGCAGCTGTATTTTCAGCATCATTACTCCAGTCTTCAGTGTCACATGATCTTCAGAAATCAGTATAATATGCTGATTTGCTGCTCAACAAACATTTCTGATTATTATCAATATTAAAAACTGCAGTTTTTAGACTTCAGAAATGTTTCTTCGTCTTTCTTTGTTATATTAGTATTTAAAAATTTTGTTTTCAATATTTTTTTAAATAAGACAATTAATATAGGATTATTTTGCATTGTGGCAATTAAACACATTTCCCGCAAAATGATCATTAGTGTAATGACAAAACTTGATAATATTCATTTTTGCATTTTAATACATATTTAATCAATTGTAATTATTACTTTAGTTGTTTTAAGCATTTTTTTAATATATATTTTTGTATAAATTTTATTAACTGATTTTGCTACTCAATAAATATGTCTTCTTATTATTAAAATGTAAAACAGTTGTTTTTAGACTTAAGCAATGTTTCTTCATAAGTTTTTTTTATTTATATATTAGTGCTGTCAAATGATTAATCGCGATTATTCGCATCCAAAATAAAAGTTTTTGTTTACATAATATATGTGTGTATACTGTGTATATTTATTATGTATATATAAATACAAACACATGCATGTATATATTTATGAAAAATATGTTATGTTTATATATTAAATATAATTATTTATAATATACATTTTATGAATATAAACATGTAAAATATTTTCAAAATATATACTGTATGTGTGTGTATTTATATATACATAATAAATATACACAGAACACACACATATATTATGTAAACAAACTTTTATTTTGGATGAGATTAATCGTGATTAATCGTTTGGCAGCATTCATATTTATAAAGAAAAACCTAACTTTTAAAATTGCTTACATCGAGATCATTATTTTTTTTTTATTGTATTGATTAATTGATTTGTTTGTTTTTTCCCTTGTATTTTATTTGTTCTATTTCTAATTGATTGTAGCACTTTGGGTACTAGAAAAGCACATTATAAATAAAATGTATTATTATTAAAGTAATATAAGATTATTTAGCATTGTGACAATTAATCACATTTCCCCCCAAAATTATTATTAGTGTAACTATACTTATTAAATATAAATAAAATAAGTTATAATACATTTTAAATAATAAGTTAAATAAATGATTATAATAAATTAAAGAAAAATTTATAATACATTAAATTATTTAATTCATTTTTTTTGCATTTAAACTGTTTTGTAGGTATTTTTAAATATATATTTTATGTATAAATGATATCAGCTGCTCAAGAAACATTTGAAAACAGCTACTTTTAGACTTCTCTCATCAGTTTGATAAGATTAAGGTTCTGGTTTATAAGGTCTGGCTCTGGTCTGCTTCCTAAAGCGTGTGTTGGTTGAGTTGTTAACTGAGCTTTCAGGAACGGCTGTGATCTCAGATATTGAAGTCATTTCTCTGCCATTTGAATCTTCCTATCTTCTCGGTGAAATGCATTGTGGGAGCATTAGTCCTGCGCAGATTGATGGCCAGTTTGCGAGGAATATAAAACCCATAACGTTATAGATTTAGGCTCACTTCCCCTGATTGATTTTTTCCCCTTTCTCCAGCTAAAGGGGTGAAAGCACTTATGTGCATGCTAATGACGGCGTCAGCGGCCGTTTAGCAGAAATCCACATCATCTGAAAGCTCACATTATTGCAGATATCATTGGACGTGAATTACACTTGATACGTGAACTCAGCTCGTCCAGCAGGAGCACGGGTTCATGCCGTTAGGAAGCGTTTATGGGACGTTTCCTCTGCGCTAATGGCATCTTCCAGTACGAGTTAGAAAGCTATTTGCTTTTTGAGTTGGTAAAGTGCTCAAATTGTGTTTCGGCTGCAGTGCAGATTCAATTTGAAGCGTTTCTCTCTATAGTTTTAACCTTTGGCGCTGTAGCTGTGAATCGTGCGCTCGATCGCTCGTCCGCTCCGTTTGTGTCTTGCTTTGTTATGATGTTGCTTTTCAGGGCTTTGCTTACTTAACGCACAGACGGATGACATTTTCTTGACATATCGATCTGCAGAAAGGGCACGACAAGCACAAGGCCAAACGCCGGCTTTTTCTTCCAGAAACTGGATCCCGTGCAAACTTTTGCAGCATGAAACCTAATACTTGCCGCGATGCCCTCACCTTTCTACTTTATATGAAGAGACAGAAAACACTCAAACAAAACACAGTGGTTTTCTTTGAGTAGCATGTGAATAACATGGTAAATTACTATGGACATCATTCAGTATGTATCAGAGTACACCAGCAGAATATATTCAGTATATTTAGCATATACAGTTTAATCTGTTGAGTTTGAATTGAATTGGGCATCCGTTTTGCTGGTCTAAGCTGGTTTGGTTGCCTAGTCTGGTTTATTTTGGGGTTTGGGATTTGTATCAAGCCTGTGCAAACCAAACCAAACCACCAGACTCTGTGACTCTTGTCAGTTTGGACTAGACAGTCTATGGTGGTTTTGTCACCCAGTCTGGTGTGTTTAGCTGGTTTCTGAAGGGTTTTTTGGTCTTGTGTCAAGCCTGGGAGACCGTCTTAAACCAGCTAAGACCAGCTTAGATTTATATCTATGCTTTTGTGACGGTATTTTCATGACATTTAGGCACATTTCCCTCCAAATTCTCATTAGTGTAGTGCAAAAAAACAAAATGGATTATTTTTTTATTATGTTTTGTAAGTATTGAATCACAATACTTTAACAAGTATTTAGTATTGTGTAGTATTTTAGTATTTAACAATCAAAAAAGATAGTTTTTTGTATTGCGTTTATTTATTTGTTTATTTATATATTTATTTAAACAATTCAATGAATTAAATAACAAAAACAAAAGCTGAATTTAAGCTGTTTAGTTGACATGGAAGTGTATTAAGGTTTCATTGTGTTTATGTAAAATATAAATTTATTTTTATGTATTGTTGTAATGTGACCTGAACATGCAAAGTGATATTATATTTTTGCATTGTGACATTATTTACATGACTTCCTCCCAATTTCTCATTAGTGTAATACAAAAATAATAATAATAATAAAAAAAAATTTTTTTTTATTTTTTAGTATTTATATATCATTTGAGTTTATATTGGACTTGCTAAAATAAAATGAATATATGAATTAAATTTTATATTTTTGTATTGTGACATTATTTTCATGGCAGTTTCCCTTTCTCATTAGTGTAATGCAAAACAACCAACCAAATAAATAAATAATAATAATAATACATTTTGTATTGTTTTGTATATATACATTCTCTAATTTTCTTAAAAAAAATTTTGTAAATAAATAAATAATTTAAATTATTACATTATTTAAATTTTAAAAAATTAGCGGTTTAATTGACATGGAAATAATTTCATAGTGGTCCTCTATCAGTTTTCATTGTTTATGTAAAATTTATTTATTTTTATTCTTTTTTATCTTTAATTTTGGGCTGTAATGTGACTTGAATGTGTTTGTGAGATTCATAGGTTCATTTCAGGCAGACACACAGCAGACAGGTCAAAGGTCACGAGTTCCTCGCAGCACAGCATCTGTGTGTTTCTCTGTCTCGTCTGATCACATGCACATAAATGCTCCATCCATCAGCACATTGATTTCCCTGTCCATCGACGTATCTACCTGTCAGCCTCTCCCATCTGAGGCTTCATCGTCTGACCGTTTTCTACATCCGGATGTGTCTTCGGCATAGAGCTGCACGATTAATCGTTAAAAGATTGCAATCTCGCTTCAAACACCCATGCGATCCCATTTTTAAATGACAACGATTCGCTTGTGTCTATTAAACCTTTGAAAAAATCATACTGGTACAGATCTGTGTTTGCTGACTGAGAGAGCAGTTAGCATGTTTAGGTAAGAAACAGTCTTTTCAACTACACAGCATTATTTCTGTCTTACAGTCATTCGTATCATCACAGAAATACTGGGGTGAAAGTTTATAGGTCAGATATAAACATTGATGTCTATGGAAGCGATCAAAATAGAGCAGATCATCTTTTGAAAGTAACTTGCGCTTCAAATAACGTTTGTGTCGAAGCATAATTTCTCCACTAGGTGGCAACAAGTGACAGTTAAAAAATTTATTTGTCATTGAATCATTCATTCAAGAGATTCGTTCAAAAACTCGGATTCATCCAGAAATGAAACAAGTGAAGTATTTATGAGTCATTGAATCATTCATGCAAACCACTTAATATTAAAAATGGGTGTATTAAACATATTATATTTTTAAAACATATATATTAGTGTATATATATAATAGTGTTGTCAAACGATTAATCATTATTAATCGCATGCAAAATAAATGTTTTTGTTTACATAATATATGTACATGTACTGTGTATATTTATTATGTATGTATAAATACACACACATACAGTACATATTTTGAAAATATTTACATGTATATGCATTTATATATTTTGTATTCTTATATTTTATGTTATATATAAATATATTTAATATATAAACATAACATATTTTTCTTAAATATATACTGTATGTGTGTGTATTTATATATACATAATAAATATACACAGTATACACACATATATCATGTAAGCGAAAACGTTTATTTTGGATGCGATTAATCGCGATTAATTGTTTGACAGCACTACTATTAAAATGTTTAATCATTCAAAATAGTCTGCAGCAATAATATTTTGTCACACATTTTGTTCGGAGAATCGTGATCTCTGTTTGAGACAAAAAAAACGTGATTCTCAATTTATCCAGACTCGTGCAGCTCTACTTCGGCGTTTTTCCATCCATGCAATTTCACTCAACTTCCTCCTTCAGTAGAAAATGCAGGAAAGAAAGCAGCAGCACCGAAGCGTTTGATGGAAATGCAGCCCTGCAGCGCTCTTGATATGCAGATACGCTGGAGTCTCCGGCCCCGTCGGGCTCCTGGAGTCAGTGTGGTTGTGATTTAGTGCCGTAGCTCATGCTACATTAGCGGGCGGCTCTGCTCTAATAGCGTCCAGCTCTCAGGGTGCAGCTGATTCCTCGTGTCCGAGTGTCAGATGGGAAACTGCAAGTGCTTTTGACTCATTGACTCCAGGACTGTTTATCAGCTTAAAACCATCCGTCCCGCTGGCTTGTTAGTCCTAATGAAGCACTAAAACGCGGCTGACGGATAGCAGCGTTCGTTTGCGTGTCGTTTGTCTGCAGGAAGAGTCCAGGAAAGGCTAAAAGTGACACCAAATGGAGAAGAATCATCCGCGACTGCCCTCATTGCTCATGTCTTTGTTGGCTTGTTTGAATTTGTTCAATCCGATTGTGTTGAATTTGCTTTCCATCCCTCACCCTCCATCCCTCCCTTTCTCCCGAAGGTTCCTTATATCAGAAGTCCTCCGAACCCACAGACAAGAGCAATGCTCTGCCACATCCATGTGAGTCCTTCATTTCATTGATTTCTGTTTGCATGCGTCTCCAAACCTTCCTCAGTTCCTCCTTATACTTTTTCTCTCTTCATACCATCTCATTTTTCTTCTTAAGAGTCTGAAAAAACAGCTTAAACTAGTCTCAAGATTGTCTAAACTAGTCTCAGCTGGTCTGAAGTGGCTTAGACAGTCTCCAAAACTTAATTCAAGCCCAAAACCCTTCTAAAACCAGCAAAACAGACCAGACTGAGTGACCAAACCATTTTAGACAAGACAGTTTTAGGTTAGATGGACTCCTTGGCTTGATACAAGCACAACAGACCGGACTAGACAGTCTAAGGTGGTTTGGTCACATAGTCTGGTCTGTTTTGCTGGTTTTAGAAGGGTCTTGGGCTTGTATCTAAGCTTGGGTGACCATTTAAACCAGCTTAGAACAGCTGAGACCAGCAAATCATACCAGAAAATGTGACCAAATCTAGACCGTCTAAGGTGATTTGACAGTCTTATCTAGATTAGATGGTCACCTAGGCTTAAAACCAGAAAACAGACCAGACTGGGTGACCAAACAAACTAGCTCTCAGCTTAGACAAGTAAAACAGACCAGAATACATGACCAAAACTCTGTACACTAGTGAGTCTTAGGTGGTTTGCTGGTCTAAGCTGGATTAGATGGCCACCGAGGCTTAACCCCTTCTAAAACCACAAAACAGACCAAATCACTGTAAACTAGAACTAATATGGTTTGCCGGTCGAAAGTTACTTAGATTGACTCCTAGGCTTGATGCAAGCAAAACAGTCCAGACTATGTAAGCAAACCACCTTAGACTGTCTAGTCTGGTCTGTTTTGCTAGTTTTAGAAAGGTTTTGGGCTTGTAGTGAGCCTGGGAGACAATCTAAACCAGCTCAGACCAGCTGAGACCAGTAAAACAGACCAGAATATGTGACCAAAACTCTGTACACTAGACAGTCTAAGGAGGTTTGACAGTCTGATCTGGATTACATGGTCACCTAGGCTTATAACCAGAAAACAAAACAGACCAGACTAGACAGTCTAAGGTGGATTGGTCACCTATAGTAGTCGGGTCTGTTTTGCTGGTTTGTCAAAGCCCAAAACCCTTCTAAAACCAGCAAGCAATAGGTAACCAAACCACCTTAGACTGTCTAGTCTGGTCTATTTTGCTTGTATCAAACCTAGAAGTCCATCTTAGCCTGCTTAGGCCAGCACACCACATTAGACTGTCTAGTCTACAATCATTTGGTCACCCAGTCTTGTCTGTTTAGCTGGTTTAGAAGGGTTTTAGGCTTGCATCAAGCCTGGGAGACCATTTAAACCAACTTAGACCAGCTGAGACCAGAAAAGGTGACCAAAACACCTTAGACTTTCCAGGTTTGCTCACACGGTCTGATCTGTTTAGCTGGTTTTAGAAGGAGGACGCAAACCCACTTAGACTGTCTAGTGTAATGTAGTTTTCTCATCCATTCTCTTTAGATGCTTTTAGAGGCGTTTTGTACTTGTCTCAAGCCCGGGATGAAAGCTTAGACCAGTAAACCACTTTAGACTGTCTAGTGTAAGGTGGTTTGTTCTGTTTAGCTGGTTTTAGACAGTTTTTGTGCTTGTATCAAGCCTGGGAGAATAGCTTAGACCAGATAAGCTCAGAAAACCACCTTAGACTGGTTTAAGCTGCACACAGCTGTTTAGTTACAATATTAACCCTTCATACCACACATTTAAAGTGATAAATCCACCCAAAAATGAAATTCTGTCATTATTTTCTCACCCTCGTGTCATTCCAAACACAAACGTCTCAGTGTTTTTTGTTCATGCAATGAAAGTCAGTCATCTTCAAAATATGTTTCATTTATAAAGTTATACAGGTCTAAAGGAATGTTTGAAACAAAAATGTTCATTTCTGAGTGATCTGTTGCTTCGAAGTACGGAAATAGACAATATAGAGGGTAAATAAGGTGAAGTAAATGGAAAAATTGAAAGAACCAAATTAGGTTAAAGCTCGATTTGCTGGTAATGTTAATGAAATGAACTCTGGAGCTGTGTGTGTGTGTGTGTGTGTGTGTGTGTATACTTGTTTATGCTACATTGTGAGGAACAAAATATCCCCACAAGGATAGTAAAACCTGAAATTTTTTGACATTGTGGGGAAAAATGTATTAAAGATAGTAAATGATGTTTATCTGAAAGTGTAACAATGCAAACAGGTTTTCTGTAAGGGGTAGGTTTAGGGTTAGGGGATAGAAAATATCAGTCAGTATAAAGTATAAGTATAAAGTCAGTATAAAAGTAATAGAAGTCTATTGAAAGACTTTTCTTTTCCACAATTCACAGAAACAAGTGTGTGTGTGTGTGTGTGTGTGTGTGGCTCTTCTCTGGTCCTGAAGCCCTAGGCGTCTCTTTCACACATGGCTGCTGTGATCGCTGGCTGAGGAAATGTGTCTGTCTCTCGGCCGTCTCTCCAGCGTAACCGCTCAATAATGCTTTTTATTTCCACCCTGTTTTCCTCTCTCTCTCTCTCTCTCTCTCTCTCTCTCTCACTCTCTTTCTACCTACAGTTCAAAGAAACGTATTAATCTCAGCGATACATTTTAATGCTTGCCCCGCTGAGTGTGCCGCTTTATCATCAAAGTGCGAGCACCGGATGGGAGAGTTGCACGCTCAGATGATATTGGAGGACTTTCATCACTCGGCTCTATTCGCCAAGTCCATACGGGCCGGAATACGAGCGGCTTTACGCTCCTGTAGAGAGTCATCATTTACCCTGATAGCTTCGTTAAAGATAGAGGACGTAATTGTGGAAGTTTATGAATAATACAGAAGAGAAACGAGGGAGTATCCATGCCAGCCGACTGACCAGGAACAGAAAATAATACTGCAAACAAAATAAATTTACTCCAAAAGCAACACTACTTACTTTCTTTAACGAAGAATCTTTCTTTAATACGAGTGTGTTTTCTCTTACTGCACTTGTAGATTCACTTCAAGTGAAAATAAGTTAAAAATAAGTGACATAATAAGTGAGAAATCTACTGGTGCAGTGAGACAAAACTGACTTATATTCAAGAAATGTCAGAAACAAGTCTTAATATTTATGCAGCGTTGCTTCTGAAAGAAACTTACTTGTTTTTAGGATGTTTAGATATAACTTATTTTTTAATTGACAAAAATTTCACTTAAAGAAGTTGGTATAGCATTTACTCTAAATACTCTGAGAGATATATATACATACACACACATTATTATACTATTAATATATTAAATTTTGGTATTATATAACAATAATATGAAATTAATATTTTGTTATGTATTTAATTAAATTATTAGTAGTATATAT